GATCCAGTCAGCTCTGAGCTTCGGACGCACACTGGACTCAGACTACCCGCCTCTGCAGCAGTTCTTTGTCGTCATGGAGCATTGTCTCAAACATGGCCTCAGAGGTAAGAGGGTGAGGGGCTGCCTTAAGTGGTGTGTGCGCTTTGCCAGTGCAACCCACTGATATATTAGGATTGTTGGTTGCCTCCCTCAAGGTGTGTGTCCCACTGAGATTTGTGTCTTTCTCCAGTGAAGAAGTCCTTTCTGGGCTTTAACAAGTCTCTGTGGGGTCCCCTGGAGTTGGTGGAGAAACTGTGTCCTGAAGCAGCAGAGATTTCTGCCTCTGTGCGAGACCTACCTGGACTTAAGTAAGAAGAACATTTGCTTGCACACACTTGAGCCACAATTACTACACACACTCACATGCACAAGTAACACAAAAAGGTAACCTGAGCCAGATCAGGGAAGTACCTGAGTGTGACTTACTCTCACTTCACCTTTCCTCTTCCTGCTGCTTCCCTTCTGTAGTAATTTTCTATGTAACATCATACACATCAAAAACTCTGTTATGCCCTACATCAATATTTATGCACAGTCCTATAGTGCCTGTTAAACTGGCTTCTACTAGCTCTCATTTATGCACATGATTTCCCTGCCACATTTAACTTTGTTATCAGTAACTTCAAAGCAGAGCATTCAGGCAAGGAATGAAGTGAGTAGTATTCAGGTTTCAACTGATCATACAAAATGGGGAACAGCTATTAGATGGTGTACACTGTCTGTTTCCGTTAGTGGTGCTGAGTCAGACCAACAGACATGTAGCAGAGCCGTGCTTCTGCAAATGTGGACTCAAAGATACAGGACAATGAAAATTGTGCCTGTACTTGCTGCTTTTCTCTGGAATGATGTTGGTATCCATAATGTTTTTATGAAAACCTCTCACAGACAAACATAGACTCAAAACCTTGCAGTGAATAAACAGGAGAATTACTGCAGATCAAAGAAATAAGGCAAACAATCAGACTGTTGTAATCATCTCCAGTTCCTGCCACAAGCCTAGGAGCCTCAGAAAATATGGACAGATTATGATAGAACAGGTCCCTGGGTACAGACATGTAAAAGGCCCCCTTCCCCTGCTATAGAAGCAAGGCCCCCTTGTGGTAATTCTGTCTATTTGGCTTCTCATTGTAGATGCTTTGGTCATTTTGCATCTGTTCATGGTGATTTTTTTCATTTCTTTGTGATTGTTTAGCATCTCAATATCTTGTTTTGTTCATTTTGTGTCTCTTTCTGAGGTATTTTGCAGGGAAGGACAAGTGGCCCCTTGGGCCCTTGGCCCCGAGCCTGGTAGGCCCATTTAGTGATCCATCCATGCTTAAAAATATAGTCCTATCACTGCTGTGTGTGTTTTCCAGGACTCCTTTAGGCAGAGCCAGGGCATGGTTGCGTCTGGCTCTTATGCAGAAACGGCTGGCAGACTATCTGCGACTACTCATCACCAGAAAAGACCTGCTCAGGTACACACACACACACACACAGGTTCATTTGGTTTGTTATAGTTTAACAACATTTGGTTGCAACAACAGTGCATGATCTTGTGTATCACAGTGATTTCTATGAGAATTCTGCCCTGATGCTGGAGGAGGAGGGAGCAGTGATCGTGGGCCTGCTGGTGGGCTTGAACGTCATCGATGCCAACCTGTGTGTCAAAGGCGAGGACCTGGACTCTCAGGTATCCACTGCTCTGCAACGGTATCAGCTAAAAAAATACATTTACCCAAGACATTAAAATGTTGCCTTTAGCTGGACATGTTTATCTGATGTGGTGGTGTTTACAGCTGGTGTTCATTCTGTTCTCACAAGATTGGATCTAATTTTCTGTTTGCACCACAATAGGTAGAGTACATTTATGTCTTACATCAACAAAACAAACATACTTCCTGTTCACTGGAATGTCACTGTTTATCTACTGTGGCTCTGGTTTTGTCATTTGTCACATTATCTTGGCAGTGGACAGGTGGAGAACAGACGCTGTGGTGTCATGTTGCTATTCCAAGGATGGTGACTTTGTCCTGAGTGCAAACACATTTTATCACTAATGCAAACACCCTGAACAAACACTGTACTTGGTGTTTGTTCAGATACAATCATTTACACCTTTAACCAATATTAGCACTGTACTTGGTGTTTGTTCAGATACAGTCATTTACACATTTAACCAATAATAATCAGGGATTTTCATTTTAAGGTAGATAAATAATACCTTGTAGTCACTGTTTCTGTCGTGATCTATGACTTTATACTGTAACGCCACGGAGGACTGTGGAGAATTCTCCATATGCGTGTGGCAATTTGAAAATGTACTCCTCTAATCTAATGCAGACATTAACACAAAAAAGTGGGCAATTATATAGTAATAGTTTAACATTGCCTTCATGCATGAAATTGGGTTCTGTTAGATTCCTATGAGTTTAAGTAGAGATGATTTTAATCATCCTTAACTTTTAAGTTTGTTTCATGGGTTGCCACTACTTGTCCTGATGAACGCATCAATATTATTAATAATAGTAATACCTTTAGGTACATGCTGCTTCCTGCAGTGACTGATATCAGCAGGTTTGTACAGTTTTTTTTATTTTTATTTTGCTAAGGTCGGGGTGATCGACTTCTCCATGTACCTGAAGAACGACATTGACGATTACAGGAGTGAGGAGAGGTATGATCTGCCACCGTCTCTCTACTCTGTTTTATACAGTTGGTTCATTAACTCTCTCACAAAATGTGATGCAGAGCTGTTTTGTCTGCTTCCATGGCAACAGGAATAGCCAGATAGCATCCATCTTGGACCAGAAGAACTACGTAGAAGAACTGAACCGACAGCTCAAGTAAGACTTTTGGTTTTGTTTATGGAAAGGAAACGCACCTGTGTGCAGGGGTTTCCCCCAGAATTCCCAGAGGTGACAGTGGGAGAACTTTCAGGAAGTTAAATTTTGCATCCGTGTGTCCAGCTCTACTGTTCATGGTCTTCAGGGCAGAGTCGACTCCCTGGAAAAGTCCAACTCTAAGCTCATAGAGGAGGTGAGGTTCACTCTCCCACTGTTTGTACATTAGATTGAAGATGGAAGTCAGCACTGTAACTTTGAGTTGTTCAGTTTAAAATATGTATAATCAGTATCCAGTATAAAATATGTGCTTCACTACTAAACACAAGAAATCTTACATTTTTTAGTTATGTTAAACTTGTCAGAAATGCATGATAATATAACCTGATTACTGACATGATTCATTCTTTGTTATACATGTGCAGTTAGCCATAGCCAAGAACAACATCATCAAACTGCAGGAAGAAAACCAGCAGCTGAGGAGTGAAAACAACCTGATTTTGCTGAAGGCACAGCAACATTTGGAGGTACACAGTGGCACATGCTCTGTTAGCTGCAGCTACGACTGAAGCCAAACCATCAACTGACAAAATGTGTTGTTCTTGTTGATGTTGTTTACTGTAGGTAACTCAAGGCGATGTGTCAGTGGAGAGAGATACATATAAACAGTCTCGTCATGGTTTGGATGAGATGTACAATGAGGCTCGGAGGCAGCTGAAGGAGGAGTGTCAGCTCAGACAGGTCACACTCGCTGCTTGCATGTGAAAATGTATGTGCTTTACATGATGACTGTAATAACAGATTATATACATGTGCTTTATCTTTTAGGATGTGGAAAATGAGTTGGTAGTCCAGGTGTCTATGAAACAGGAAATGGAGCTGGCCATGAAACTTCTGGAAAAAGATATTCATGAAAAACAGGTATGTACATATTCTCCTTGTCTATCTTGTCTTCTTTTTGACCTCTGATTTATAAAAAAAACAACCTGGAACGGTTGGTCGGTGTTGACCTTCCAGCAACAAGCGGTAGTATTTTGCAGAGATGAGTTCACCCCACGTCCTGTATAAATGGGATGAGGTGGAATGGGGGGATGGAGGTCTGCATGAGTGAGAGCTATAGAGTGAATGAGAGAGAGCAGCGTCAGTGAGAACAAAGTGAATAAGAGAACTAAAACTTTGATTGTTTCTAAAGCAGGAACACAGCCACACCTGTGCACAACCTTGTGAGAGGGATTTTGAATGCATGCAGCCAAAACACACGCTTCTGTTTGTCTGTTCTGCTGTGTGCACGTTGAGTGAGTGTAGCTCTGCCCTCAGACACACACACAGACCTGAAACTGGATGCACGTAGTATGCTACTGTAATTCCCGATTTCTATTTCTAAATATACCAAACTAAATCAGGTAACAGCCCGTTTAATTTTCAAATTGGCCGCAAAGTACACTGACCTTCGGACGTCGTGATAAGCATCACGCCTCTACTACCGGGATTCCGTCAGCTGTGTAAAATGAACACAGCAGCGGCAGTTTGCTGCAACCACAGCCAGTTTTCCCATCTATTTTTATATATAGACTATTGCCAGAACATAACTTAAGCTTTTTGCTTTTTGTAAACAGGACACACTGATTGGACTGAGACAGCAACTGGATGAGGTCAAAGCCATCAATGTAGAAATGTACCAGAAGATGCAGGTACAGACACAAACAGACCATTTATAAGATGCAGAAGTATTGTAATCATTACTTAACACTACTCTCATTTCTCAGTCATCCGATGAGGAAATGAAGAAGAAGAATGATGTGATCAGTCGTCTGGAGGAGAAGACCAATCAGATCACTGCCACCATGAAACAGCTGGAGCAAAGGTGAGATACGCTGCCTGCAAAGGTGTAGCACACACTTGCCAAAGAGAAAAATCACTTTGTCCCATGTATCCCCCCAGTACATCCAGCTGTGTAAATCAGCTGCTCTTCTATTAAAGTCTTTGAAAAGCAGTCTTTAATTAGGTTTTCATCCAGTGTCCCTTTAGCAAAGCAAGTTGGACCTGGAGACCCTTTTAATTGTGTTAACCGGAGCACTGTAACAAAAAACAAAGACTTCTCTCATGACCATGTTTTATAAAAACTACCTGTTTTTAGTTAATTACATATTTATTAAGAGTATATTGTAGCTATGCAGAAGGCAGCTGCGGGGGAGACATGGGGAAAATGATTTGAATTGTCTTCTTTATTACTGGTCAGGGTTTTCCCTAGGAAACAGGTGAGGAGGTGGAAACCCCAGTCTCTTCTCTGGCTTCTTTCTCTGCTCCAATCACAAAATGTCTCACAGTATAAGACTTTAGTAGCATCATCAGGGTTTTTACCTCACATTGTAACATGGGATGTGCTTGTTGAGTCTGCCACCTGCTGAGGTGAGTCTCAACACTGTCCTTTGTGAGCTGTTTAGGTACTAGCTGGAAGCAAACATAGCTGCATCAAATTAATGGCCTGGGTTGTGTGAAAAAAAAACTATATTCATTGATCTTCAGGGAAAAGAGTAATGTATACTGAATGTATGTAGGCCATCACCTGAACTAAAACCAGGCTGATTACAAGATGAGATGCGTCAGGATTTGCAAAACAACTTCCTTGTGAAAACCCTCCAGTCCTTATTTTGTCATGCCTGAAAAGGACACTGCAGATGTTGTCATGCATGCTGAGTTCTCTGTCGGTGGTTACAGTTAGTGCTCCATGTTTGCATTCTTCATTTTGAGACTCGCTGGTTCATTGGTACCATCTGATCCCTCCTCACCCCACCGCCTCCCAGTCAACACTGTCCATTCCTCACCTCACTTGTTGGTTTAAATCTGTTCCATCCTATTTGTGATTGGTTGTGGGTGTTTTTTTTTTTGTTTTGTTTTGTTTTTGCTGCTCTAAATGATTTTGTAGGCTGGTGGGACATAGACCCCGGTTACACTTGTTAGTTTCAATGGGAGTTTTGTGGTGTTACTGCTCTAAAGTATATGAAGTTTAATTTGTTCTGATCACAGCCGCTGTTTAAAATCTAATTATTTACCAGCTAATTACAGATCCACCCCCCCCTTCCCCCCCCTGTTAATCATTTAACATGATGGTTACTTTAACAAAGTGGTGCTAGCTTCTGTCGCTGTAAAGGCTTTTCAGGTGTAAATTGACAGTATGCCGCTGTGTACACTTGACCTAAATAGTTCTCTGTCTTCATGTTCCTTGCTTCTCCTCCCCACCTCTAATCATTGCTCATGCTCTTAATGTGAAAGGAGATAGCTCCAGATTGCAGAAATCTGATCAGAGTGAATCTGGCAGCCTGAAATCAGATTTCTGTGTTTTTAATGCCTTTCATTTACACTTCCTGCTGTGCTTTGTGATATTCAGTGTAACCGGGGCCACTTAGAATACTGATGTATTGACATCCTTTCTTCCTTCCTTTCCACCTTCTTTCCTCCCTTGTTTTGTTCTCTTTTACACCATCCATCTGATCATGCCATCCATCCATTTTGCTCCCTTGAAACCTCCATGTTTTGTTTCTTTGTGCAGTGATAAGGATCTGCTAAGTCAGACCAGAACACTGGCTATGTCGTTTGTTAAGTGTGCCAGCACAGACACAGAGCACCAGTACAAACTGGTCAAGGACATCTCTTTCTGAGGACACACACATGCACATGCAGACACATGATTAATGATTACCTATGGCTGAATGAGTAAACGGACTTAACTTAAAGGAGCAGTCCTGTATTTTGCATATAATATTCAGATAGTTTGTTGACCTGAGAACAGCCACAGAATCAGGTGAAACTGAAACACATGACTTTGGTCCTTTTGTTACTGAAACAGCAGCAGCAGAATCTTGTGATTCAGACCACTACATCATGTTTCATGATGTTTAGTTAAACTACATCCAGACAACTTTATGCTACATGAAGATATGAGGCTGCGTTTAGCTGGCCACAAAACTGTCCAAAATTTATAATGAATCATACACTACTTTATACCTATTCACTCACATGCTACACGTTCCTCAGTTTATGTACAGTATCACTGACACCAAGATGTCTGGCCTCTGAAATGTCATTAAAGGGTCAGTTACTTTTCATATTGAGTTAGAATAAATGCATTTGGCTTGATTTAGGGACTGTATACAAATTATTGGGGTGAGGAGAGATGGGAGAATAATGTTTCATATAAAGTGAAGGGTCTTTTCAGCATTATCAATATTTTCTTTGGACTCGTTCTAAGAGAAATTTCCCATGTCCTCATCTGGACTATATTTAGTAGTAATTGATTGATTCAATTTAGACATTAATAACTAAAAGTGCACAAAGGATTTAAGATTCATTCATTCATTTTCTACGGCTTAGTCCCTGAACAGGGTCACGGGGGGGCCGGAGCCAATCCCGGCCGGCAAAGATGGTCCACTTAAATTTAAACCTCTATGTTAATGAGAATAATCACACTGCCACCACATCACACAGTAGAAGTGGAATTAGCAGCAGCTAAAATTATGGCAAACACAAAATATTCTGTTTTTTTATTTATTTGTTACTTAATGATATGTTTATTGACATTAATTGACTGTATCTTTCTGTAGAGCTTAATAAAGTGAAGGTGGGAGCTGCTAGGAAAGCGATAGAGGATGTGCTTTCTGCAGACGTAATGTTCAGTCACTAAAGACGGTCCCACTGCTCTGTCAGATCATTTAGACCAATAGAAACACACAGCGCTCCCTCTGTTCAGAACTCCTCTATCCCCTAATAAGAGGTATACAGTCCCATCGTGGCATCCATGTTGACTTTATAGAGATTTTAGATAACTGCTTCTGCACTTTGGTGTCTCTCATGGTCCAGACGGGGGTGTTTGGTTTTAGCAGCCGACATTGTTTAGATCAGAAGTAGGCGCAGTAACATGAAAACCTTTAACCAGCCTAGACAGACTGTTTTTACCGCTGCCTTCATGTCAGTCAGTGAAATTGGCAACAGATGTTCAGTCAGACAGATGTTTGCTGCCACTATGCTCTGAATGTCTTAGGCCTGTTCCTGACTGGCAGTGAACTCACTATTACTATAGTAACAGTAGTTTACTCAGTGGTGACCAGTACATTTAGATGAAATTATATAAACTTACTGCACTGTGGGATTGTGAGAAAGTAGTATACATACACCATGTGTGTTTACTATATAGAAACAGAAGCTGGAAGATACCATCTTAAAGGTGGAGTGAGGAAAGACAAAGTGAACTGGTATCTTCCAGCTTCTGACTGACTGAGCACACCTGATCCAAGTAATCAGTAGTGGGTGGGGCAAGGATAGTTGGAAAACAAGCAGAGCAGTGGCCCTCGAGAACTGGGACTGGCCACCCCTGATATAGAGCATAAGTGTCACACTATGAATTCAGACACTCGTATAATATGGCAGAGGGTAAATAGAGTGCACTGTACCTTTTAAAAAGGGAGTGATGTCTGACACACCTCTTTTCCATTGTGCTGAAGATTCACCTGAACTGAAAATTGTAACTTCGAGTTGCGTTTTGTAGATGCATCTCAGTGGGACCAGCAGCTTTAGCTCAATTGATGTGCTTTGTTTCTGCCAAACAGACAACTGAGCCCAGTGTAAAGAATTGTAGTTATACAGCTGTAAACCTCTGGAGCTTCTGTCAAGGGAATCTAAACATGTTGTTGTGTCTCGTCTTGTTATATTTATTGACTTTTGTGATATATCAGGAAGTAATCCTACCTAACTCCATATTCATAGTACTGTAACTCCTCTCAGTTTGTAGATGAATAAAAGCTCGGTGCAGCTGTTGAAAACTCACAACTACTGTCTTTTACCACCGTGACAAATAAAGTTAGTTGTTTTGAAAGTGTTGGGTGTAGTTTGAGTTTGTTTTTTTTATTTTGGCCACGTGGTCATGCTAATATGTAGATATTGGAACATTTATTAGCTGTGACTCAAAGATGGCTCAACAAGATTTAAAACTATTAAAATCCTCATATCCCAAATAAAGTTCCCTTCCTGTGGGTTTAAACACTTTTTCAAATCAAAAGGTTGTGAATGTGTTAAGTGTCACTGAAAATGACAGCATAGTGATGCTGCACTCCAGGATTAGCTATGCTTTTTTTTGTCTATTCAGTCACTTTAAGACTATTTCTCCTCATTTTATTGTGCATCTTTCTTTCGGACTCGTCGCTCCTTAGTATCTCTTAATTTTCTGTTTGAACCCCCACACATTTTGTTCTGGTGTTTAAATGGTGCAAATTACACCATCCTTCCTTCTTTATTAATTTACCCTAAGCCATCTCTCCTTCATCTTTCCACCCAGAAACCCTTACCTGTCATCCCCCTTAGTTCTTTTCTCCCTTCATTACCCCCACCCTCCCCCAGTTTTTCCTCTCCATGGTCCTGAGTTTGTCCCTGGTTATAATGGTGCAGATTACAGGAGGCAGAGAGGCACCGCATCTTGGCCGAGGAGGGAACCAGACGCTTCAAGTTGGACTTTGCTAACAAGGCCGACAGCCTGCAGCGGCAGATCGAACACAGAGAAAGGCAACTGTAAGAAAACCCCCTCTAAAGTCTGACTGACCGAGAGACGCATGCACAAAAATACATGAACATGTAATTTAGAGAAACTACAAGACAGTAGGTCAGAGAGAGAAACAGTTTATTTAAACCATAAACTCTGTGGCTGTCAGTGTTAATGCTGTTCTCCCTATACAGTTTAAAGCACTGTCTTAGCATGATCCCTTCCACAGTATCTCTCTGTCTCAGCTTCAGTCATATTTCTTCATTTTACTGGTGTTGCATGTAAATGTCTGCGGTCTTCCTGTAGCCATCAGCTGGAGACAGACCTGAAGATTGAGAGGGAGTGGCGGCAGACGTTACACAACGATCTGCACAGAGAGAGAGAGACAGTGGCTCAGCTCAGCACAGAGGCACTGCAGATCAGCGGACTTAAAAAGGTTTGAAGGGAGGAAGAGACAAATATACTGTGTATATGACACTGTGCTGTATCTGATGGGTGTTTTAATGTGTTTGCAGGAGTTCCATCGTCTCCAGGATGAAAACATTCAGCTGAGGAACATCTGCGAAGACCAGGAACAAGCTCTCGAGGAACTAGGCTCCAAACTCAGCGAGTATGTAAGCTTTGAAATGTTTCATAATCAAGCTGTTTTGACCATTTATAAAGATGGAGGATAAATTCAAATGTAATATCTAACTTAAGATTTGGAATTTTTGCAGTATTACAAATCAGTTTTGTGTGTGTTTATAAACCTTTAACTACATCTTACCTGGGGGGGTGTTCTTTGTACGTGGATTAACAGGTTAGCCAGATAATTTTGTTGACTATTACACATTATCCTGGATCTCTTGGTTCGTCCAAGGTCTTGCAGGACTTGTTGTCATGGCAACATGTCTTTAATCTCAGACAGTCAGTGCCTCATATTAAGGGCAGACAAAGAGGAGCTGCGATCTTAGCACTACACAGTCAGTTTGCATTGACCTGAGATTTCTCACTAGTTTTTTTTTTTTTTTAAGTGTTGTTTGTGAGGAAAATTTAATGAAGAGCACCATTTTTTTTCAAGCTATTTGAAAATTGTACCTGGCTCTGAAACTATTCCTATGAGTTTTCATAGCCTGCCTTCTTTCTGTATGCCTCTAAAGCTTATTATTAGTTTTCCACAATAGCTGTAGCCAAGTTACCAATTTAACAGAATTTACAGTAGGCCACAGTTGCATTTTATGCACATTTTACTGCTGTAAATTTAGACTGAAACTTACAAAAATGCAAGGAGTGAAGGGGTGAGAGTCCTTTCTGACACGACGGCATCTATGTGGAATTCATAACAGCTGAGTGCTTGACATATTTTAACAACTGCATGAACTGTAACGTGATAATGTGAACAGTAAGACAGTTTGAGAAGAAACCGGTCTATTTTGATCAAAAGGACATGTACAAGTGAATTGTTCAAATTGTAGACAACTGTAGTTAATCATTTGCTGAAATGTTTTACATAATTATTTGTAGGACAAGAGTTAGAAGTGCTGTAATGTTGCATAGAAAATACTATGTGGAGAATATCAAACTTGAGCCCGCTTTTATAATCCACACACAGATGAAGGTCGAAGAACCGAAATATCCGGATAACCTTAGTTCAGGATTGCTAATTTGATCTAAGATCTACTGTATTTAGCAATGTACGAAGATATCCTGATAGGAGTAAAGTTATTTTTATTAATATTTCAGTGAAAACAATATTTTATACTAAATTAAAAGTATTAAGATCATCGAGGACCAGACAAGGCTTTTGGGTCATTTAGAACAAATCAAATACAATTTACATTCCTGATAAGTAGAGTCTACAGTTCTTGAGAAGGCCAAACTTTATTACTGCTTTTAATGCTTCAAGTTGGAGAAAGAGAAACTAAAATAAAAAAAGTTGGCGACCTGTGGTGGCTAATTTTATCTGTTTAATTTACTGGCACTGTGATATTTTTGTCTTCAGATCCAAACTGAAGATTGAGGACATCAAAGAAGCCAACAAAGCTCTTCAGGTAAAGCAGCAGTCAGTTAAAGGGACAGGAACAGCAGGATAAGACGTTACTGAAAGAACTTCAGCATCTTGGTCTCTCATTAACAAAGCTGATTTGGGATCAGTGTAATGATGATGTGTTGTTTCAGGGGGGTCAGGTTTGGTTGAAGGATAAGGAAGCCAGCCACTGCAAGCTTTGTGAGAAGGAGTTTTCCATCTCAAGGCGCAAGGTCAGTTTTACAAATCTGTCTCTACATCAGAACTCCCAGAAACGGTCAAAAGTCAAGTTGAAAATCACCTGAGGGCTCATTTGTTGTTGATATAGTGCATCACATTTATTATAATTTTATTTAGTTTATTGTGAGGTTTGGTTTTTATGCATCAGTTTCCTTGATCTGAGACAGTTTTCTCCTGTGGGAGACAACAAAGGTAATGATTTTGAATACATCACTAAATCACAAGTTACCTTCCTCTCAATAAAACATATAATGCCAGATATGAAAAAAGAAAATTTATGGAGATTTGATATGGTATTGATCTCCAACTGAGCAGCTGGAGTGAAGTTTGATTCATGCAATCCTGTGCATATGTTTAATGTATGCAGCTGGAGTGAAGTTTGATTCATGCATTTCTGTAAATCATGTATGTAGGTGTGCATATGTTTAATGTACGTACAGATTTTATGTTTTTGTGAAGTTATTATTGTTCAAGCACCACTCCCCTAAATCAACAGACAGCTAATTTGCACATGTAGTCCCGACACAGACCAACAGTCTTACCTATTGTATCTGTCTCCAGCACCACTGTAGGAACTGTGGGGAGATTTTCTGTAACAGCTGCTCTGACAATGAGCTTCCTCTACCCGCCTCACCAAAACCAGTCCGAGTGTGTGACATCTGCCACGCCCTCCTCCTCCAACGATGCTCCTCCAATCCACCATGAAGGAGTCCTGCACTGCTGACAGGAATGCTTCAGTCGACCAGAGATCAGACTGGTAAATCCTCTAAGACCGATCTCCTCACTGATCTTAATACAGCGTTTGCTGCTAGGAAAGGACCAGTGCAGTATTGTTCAGACCCGTTTTTGTTTGACGTCACTACTTTGTTTGCACATGATTCGCTGTATTAAACGTTCAGTCAGTTCACTATAACACGGGCCCAATTTCTTACTTGACGACAAACAATTTGAGAATAGTAGAGTCCTATGTCTGCTTTCGCCTAGTACACAATTACAACACATTGTACTGGCAGGGACAGTTGCACTTAATAAGAATCAGTTATACAAATGAAACCATTTATTTGCAGTAAATAGTATCGGTTAGTACCAGTGACACTGATGCAGGGAGTACAAGTTGCCCATGAGACATTCTACATAATAGCTTCACATTAAAAAATGTAATATATATACTCAATATGACAAATTTCAAATGTACTGAAGGAAATGCTCTAAAAGACAGATAGATGTGAGGATTTCGAGGCTGATCAGCAGGTCACATTTCGCAAAGAAATTCCCTGCAAAGTTTGTGGTGATGACAGAAAGGAGGAAAACTTTAGAATGACCTGAACAGCCAAACCTCTAGTCCTACATAGTACTGCATTATAATAATGTAAGCCTCAACTATCAAGAGTGCAGTGGACACAAGCTGTAGGGCAGCATTCACAAAGGCACAAAAGATCAACTTAGCAGGTTAAATCCATTGTAACTAGATACAAACTAAAGCACAAATTGGATTCCTGTATAGTGTGAACATCAGAACTGTGTCAGCAAATGAAATTGGTCTCATTTTTTCTGTCCGTGTTATAAGTACAGGCACAGAAATAAATGTAGTTTAATATACTTTGTACTTACCATCAGAAACCGAGAACTGAAGATCACTGGTCAGAATAAGTGGTTTAGCTCCTCTGACACAATGATTAGATTAATTCCCCGCTGGCTGAGGCTTTCAAAGGAACTGAACAATTTTTTGTGCCTGTGTAAATGTAGCAAATTCCACTTACTTGTACTTCTCATGTTGCCAGAAGCCGTGTATTTCTGCAGAGAGGATAACTCCCTAAAACAGCCCCAGTTCTTTTCCAAGTAGCAGCACTAACAAAGCACACAGTGCAGGTTAAAGGAACATTTCATTTGACACTAAAGCAGTGGATGCTACTTAAGGGACCAAGAGTAGCAACAGATGCCATCGTTATCTCTTTGGCAACTGATTGAAATCATGTCTAGCTTTTTGTTGATGAACCACTGATGAGTGGTGGCTGTTAAGAACAAACTAGTGTTAAACGCTGGTGACCATAGGGCCCCAAAATGTGTTGGAACACTTTCCAATTTTATACTGCCTATAATATAGGTTGATTAGAAACTATTTATAATTATGTTTAACAATTTGTACTTTCAAAAGTTTGTTAGTGGTAATCTATTGGGTGCACGTTGTGTTCAAAGACAAAAAGTTGGAGGATCTAATCTTGTAAGTATGACCATCTCATGAGATAATGCAGGGTTTGGAACGGTTTGGAAATCATTAGGTTTTAACAAATTCTCAAAGTCAGTCATAGTTGTCAGTGCATAGTAAAAGTGAATTGTTAATAGTTAATCCAGTGTACTTAGTGTTAAAAACATAAATAAAGGATAAAAACGGTACCAAGCTGCAGCCCACATTAACCCATCATGTCTAGACCTATGGCAGCATAATACTTAGTTCTGTTCACATGACTAAACACCTGCATTTTCTCATAACCTGATCTGGTAATTACGAGATCATTTCTCATAATTGTGAGATAAGATAGCTTGCGTTTCTTTGGTGAATGCAATGCGCTTCGATAGTAATCTGTAGGTGGAGACATTTCAGAAGAATCACATGCACCGATCAGGCATAACATTATGACCACCTGTACCATCTGTATGTACTTCAATGCAACACTTCTGCCTTAACATTTGTGTTTATGAAGCTCAACTGTATAAATTCAATTATATGTTCATTATTGAGATCATAGTTAAAGGTGGTGTTATACTGGACTACATTATATTCAGAGGTGTCTATATTTTTGTCCTGCCCATTGACATACATGAGGGTCAGAATATTAAGAACACCTCTGAATATACTGTAGTCCAGTACAGCAAGCACCTTTAACTATGATCTCAATAATGAACATATAATTGAATTTATACAGTTGAGCTTCATAAACACAAATGTTAAGGCAGAAGTGTTGCATTGAAGTGCATACAGATGTACAGGTGGTCATAATGTTATGCCTGATCGGTGTGTACCTGCTGCTCATTTCCTGAGAGAACATGTAAAACTCTAATGTTCATGACTGTGAAGTACACAGTCTTCAGTGACGAGTTCCGCTGCACAGTCTAGTTTTGTACATCGAAATAATGTTTACAACCTGTGTTTTTTTTTTTTTTCTTTCCCAAGAAGTATTCATTTCCATGGAGATCATACAGGCCTGGGTTCATTTCAAGAGGTTTTTTCTTTTTGCAAATATTTAAAAATGATCATATCTTTATATACAACAGGCACATATCTCCGAACTGTACCCAAGCCTGAGATGTTTTCTAGTTTTGTTCCTATAAATGTCCCAGCTTTAAGTGGGACTTGTACAGTGTTGATACAACGGTATGTTATGTTATGTAATGTTCAGCTTTCTAAATTTGCCAGTTGAATATTAACTCTCTTGCCAACAAGATGTTGCCTTGACTGTGTAGCAGTTTGATTAAATCAAGCTACAAACTGAACGCTTCATTTTGTTTATCAATATTTTAATGTAGATGATAGGAAATTTCTTTTAAAGGAATAGTTCAGATTTTAAGTTGGTGGTAAAACAGTATAGAGCTCTGTGTATGTAGGAATAGGTCCTGGTCGTTGTCATTTCTCCTAATGACCCTGAACGGTTCCACCTGCAAAACGTGATAATGTACCGGTATCCCTCAGCCGCAGCATAGCAAGGTACTGTCCAGGGAAATTAGTTTTAAATAGGCCAGCTTTGAAATATACTGACTTGAAATAGCTTAGTGGGACAGTTGAAGGTGCATTTGAGCTTCAAACAAACTTAGGACTGCATGTTTTACAGAACAAGAGCTGTGCAGATTTCTCCTTAACTTTTTGCAGCGTAGTCATGCTCCAGCTAAAAGTGATAACGACCACGATCTATTCTCATGTACAAAGGGGTACATCAGTATTGTTTTAACGCCACCATGAAAAATTCCAAACTATTCCTTTAACACTTTCTGTGCTGCTGAAATTGGCTAACAATGTTTTTGTTTCTTGATTACCTCATGAACGGAGGGGGGACAGCGAGAATTAAATATAAAATTTATTAGGCAAAAATGTACAACAGCTGCATAAGCTATCTTACAGCTCAAATATAGACTATTTTACTTCCGCTCTTTGAGAGTGGAATATAATATTCAATTTTGTAATGAACTGTGAAAACATTCATAAAAAACACAAAGGCTCGCATTTATAACTTGTCAAAGCAGGAAAGCTGATCTGAAATCAGGTTTAAACTGTGGATTACTAATCTGAAAAAATTTTAAAAACTTTTTTAAATCTGAATTTCTTACAGCTTGTCACTGCTCTATTCTATCCTATTTCACTCACCTCAATACATCATTCAAGCCAAAGCAGTGACAGCAGTCAAGTGACAATCAAAACTATTCCTGGTTATCTAAGTTTTACTGTGTCCTACGAAGCTCTGCCTCCCTGCTACACAACAGATATATCATTACAGTGCATTCCAACTAACTGGGAATCCACACTAAAAGCGAGACGCGAGTGGCATGTTCCGTATCAGGACAGTGGCTGGGCGAAGTCTTTACAGGCCGGCTAACAACACAAGTGTAGTGAACAACTAGAGTTTGTCTATGCTCATTAGGAAGAAATCACATTTTTATGTAGCCTATGGATTTACAGATTTTGCTCGGCTCGTTACAAAGTGAAACTCAAGCAGCCTGATCAGTCGTAACCGATGCCAGTAGAAACAGAAAACAACAGGATAGGTGTGATTTAAACGCACTAAATGCAGCAGAGGACAAAAGCAGACACGAAGCATAAAAAAACAATAGGGTTCTACGGGAGATGTGCGACTCATGCAAGTCTCAGATTCAGTGTCGACTGACAAATTTGACAGTGCAATTCTAACTGCAGAGTGAGACGCGCGTATGTGCACTTTCAGTGTGGATTAGAGGTAAGTCACTAAAACCCATAACACACGGTTATTGTCCTTACTGTCCTATGCATCAAAACTGTGGAAAAATAAAGAGGTGTTTGATTTCTCTTAGTTGGATCACTACATAAAATGCACTTTTCTTGTGAATCATGAAAAACTACAATAAAATATCCAGCTATTTTAAAAAGAATCCAATACTCCCCATTAACCGTGTTCAGTACCTTTAACGTTTCACTATTGTCACGTTTTGTTCTTCATGGTTTTAAGGAATGGTGTAATAATAGTGCTTATTATGGTCATTTTTGGTCTGAGGTGACGGTATACTGCACCTCATATTAAAATAGCTGTTAAATAACTAACAGTGACTATCAGCTTTCCTGCTTATAAACATTAATCAAGTAAATGTGGCCTAAAGAGATGCGAGACAAACGCCATGGTGGATTGGAAGAGTTGGATGACATCATCAGTATGTGCCACGCAGTCCACTGCTACGTGAGCCTCCGCCCCCTCCTGAGTTACCATAGTAACCACCACCACGACCTGAAAGGGTTTTGAAATGGTCGGTTTTAGAAAGATTCTAGCAAGACAAGGACACTTACTGAGCTAAGACTTTTACACCAATGACCAGACAAGTACCACAGTCATCTCTGCTAATCTGTGTGATTAAAAAAAAAAAAAAAAGTTTCAAAGCTAATCAGCAACACAGAGGATTGAAACTGCCTAAATGAGAACTGTTGATGGAAACTTACTCATTTCAGCTGCTCCGCTGGATGTGGAGTTGAGGAACAGCTCAATGTAACGATGCTCTGTGGATAAAACATCAATCCATTATTTAACCCACTGAATAAATGGTTTCTTTTTCTGTTTAATGTAAAATCATCTGATCGCTTTCCCAGCTAGTCCAGGTATCATCCATAATATCTTAAACTGTCATGAAAATAATTTTGTTTTTATGTCAGTGCCCGGTTTGCTTTAAGTATGCAACTTTTTTTCTAACCATTTTAGAAAAAAGACTCGAGTGAGGTAAACATGGCTAAGATACTTGGGACACATCCAGAAACTACTACTTTTGCATTGAGGCTTCAAGCTGGTATTAGCTGCTGGAAGACACTCATTGTAGCTGAGTCACAGGCTAGCTTCAAAGCAAGCTTCAAAGTCCTGCATTCGCTGACCAGTGTTATTTCTGTTAACGAAAACTATGATGAAAAATATTCATTGAAAACCTATCTTTAAGGGTGAAAATGAAACTAAAAAGTTATGCTTGATAATGAGAACTATGACAAAATGCTTTACAGCTTTTGTCAACGAATAAAGAGTAAACAATGTGAAAGATGGACAAACGGACATGAAGTTACTTAACCTGCTGCATCTGTGGAATCAAACTGTAGGTTTCCTCCACTAGCCAAAATATCTGGTGTCCAAGAGCTGAATTAATGTGTTTTACCATCTTACATTCAGTAAAGTTTTGTCTCTGGCATTAGTAAACCTCTTTCTTCCAAGAAACACTAAGCATATTTTATGCTCCAGAGAATTACCCACAAAAACTGCTGGGACACAATAGGAGGGAATGTTGGCTTCACATAGTGTTAACTGCATTTCTGGAACTTGCTACAGCTTAAATGGTCTAAACTCAACACTAAAATCTGATATATTTGTGTTTCTATGGATAGAACTAATCCTCTCCTCTGCTGCTAGTCACTAAGTGTGTCTGTGTCATGAACACAGTGTAATGTAGTGTAAAAAGTGGTGTCATGAGAGCCAACATGAGGACAGGCAAGCTGAGGAGAGTACATACGCATGTGATTCTTGTCTTTGGACATGGCCGCCACAGCATCTTCGTGGGAGCGAAACTCCACATCTGCCTCTCCAGTCGACTTGCCACTAGGAGCCACGTCAATGTGAACCCTCAGTGGATTCAAGGGAGCAAAGAACTGCATGAAGGAAAACAGATGGATACACCCATGAGCAACAGATCATGTACATCTGTCACATCCATTAGGGACTTATGTCTGTCAACATTCTGTGTTTATTCAAATGCTGTAGCTGGTGTTATTGAGCTTCCTGACCAACAACAGGATACAAACAGCCAGAGACATCAGTGATCTACATTAACAGTCAAGTCTAATCTGGCTCCACACAGAGTTAAGGTAAACATTTTGACTGTTTATATTACAGCACGGAATGCAATTTAATGCCCATTATTTATCATGGCATTTTAAGCACTGCCCAGTAGTAGATAACACTATTTCCTATTAATATAATTAATTAAATCAACACACAACAGAAAAGATGATCAACTACTAGAAAATGAGCTGTTTGTGCTAAAATTGAAACTTGATCATTGTGAGATTCCTGGCTACTACAGGTCTGACAGTGAGACAAAGTAGTGAATGGCCTCCCGCAGCACAATCTAGCCACAACAATCCCACTTTTTATACAATGTCAGATACAGAAACATTTTATAACTAATATTACTCCCTAATGCAGGCTAGAAAAATATACAAGACTTTTATGAAATAAACGTAGGAATTAAAAAAAAAACCTTGGGGACTTTTTGTTGAAGAATAAGAAGCTTTATCAGACCTGCAGATTCCCTGTGTTGAGACTCACCGTTTGAAAATTTCACAGAAAAACAATCACTGTAACTTTTCTCTGTGTGTGTTCTTACCTTAGCAATGTCTCCCTCTGTGGCACGGAAAGGTAAACCCCTCATATGGACAAAATGGCCACTGTGAAAGCCTGAGCCGCTGTCACTTTGAGCACTGTAACTGTGGCTTCCCACCCCTGAGCCGACACACACAAAAACATTAACACAACCTCCACTGATGCAGCAGAGAAATAATCTTGACATATACCAACATTTATTTAACTTACTGATGATTAACAACAGATTAGGCTGAAAACAATGCAAATATTTCTGTAAACAGAAGCCTATTAGAGATATTCACTTAAATTTGGGGACTACAAGCAAAGATATATATAAGCTTTGCTAAACCCACTATTTATATCAAGAATATGAAGCTTAAAAATGATGGGGTGTAAAATAGTTTTAAGATTCAGACCAAAAGGTTTACATAAAATTAAAAATGTGGATAACCTTTGAACTGTTCAGCATGGGTCCTAAAGCTGTATGTGAACACAGGCTTTCCAACATGATTTCAATTTTTCTAAATGACTCTAGAGGGGATATAGAGTTTGGACTCTACCTCTTCCTCCCCTCTCTCCTCTCACTCGCTCATCGAACATGCCGTTGCCAAAGCAGTAGCTGCTGAATCCATTGTAGTGGTCAAAGTCACTGTAACCTGGACACACACACCAACAGAAACTATAATTTAACACAAAACACAGATGACAGAACTGAACAGGCAAAATGGAAAAAAAAAAAAAAACTCTCTTTGTAACAATGGGGAGGAAAACTTTAATACATACGTACCACAGCCTGTTAAAGATTGCATTGCATTATTGATAAATTACATAATAATTTGAACTTGGTTGAAATGGTTTCCCATTGTTAACGGTTTTATAAAAACCTGTCAAAATGAAACCAAACAAATGAACCAGAAACCAAACCAGCCAGGATAAACATTTTAATTATGCAAATTAATAAACTATAACCTGTCCATTGAGAAGAAAATATTGATTTAAGGAGGGCCTGTTTAGTTGGAGCAGTTAACAAAATCAAAAGGTTGGCAGAGACCCTTCTGTCAACATTATTGAAAAATACTTGTCTGCTACCTAAATTTAGTTCAAATGTGATATTTTTCCTGCTTCTCATCTCATTTTAAGGTGGTTTAGTGCTGCAGCCGGTTTATTTCACAACTGTGGTGTGATCTTTGATGCTTTCATTTCAACAGCACTAGTGAGACCCAGAACATGGGCATCACCCACGCCCTGATTCAGTAATCACTACTTCAAGTGGGAGAAAACAAATATTTCTACATGCACAAAAAAAAAGCTGCTTACCTCCATAGCCTCCTCCACTCCTCACAGTGTCCATCAGAGCCCCACCACGGCCGGCCCCGGCCCCAAAGAACCCCGTCCTGGAGCCTCCTACCAGAGGTCTGTCATAGGGCCCTGGTCTCTGGCCTCCCATTCCCCGTCGGGGAAGCTCATAATAGGCTCTGATCTCATTTCGGCTGCTCTTAAAAATCTCTATGTACCTGCAATATGAGAGCCCCATGGGGTGGGTGAGTGAGTGGGGGGTGGGGGTAGAGGAGAGGGTTAAGGTGCAGAACTTGCTTAGCTTGGGTTACATAGACACATGATTAACAGAGAGAGAAGAGAAACATACAAAAAACAAATATTCTAAACACCGGTCTAAGTTGTTTGAACCTGGAGCTGAGTGCCTGAATGACAATTTACAAAGCATTAGCTGGGCTTAGGGCTATAGCAGATTTATACACCAACCTCACCTCTTGATATTTACAGATAAGTAAAACCTTACAAAACTTTTAGGTGCTGTGTTGGACATTTTAATCAAATGCTACAATGGAAGAGACTGCCTTGAATGTCCTTTGCTATACTTGATCCCCTCTTCCACATTATCTATACGATATGTGTATGAGAGGCTAGAAAAGAAGTGCCAATAAAATAATCTAATGTACCCAACTGAGTAAACCTCCTGGGTCTTAAATGATCACCAGTAAAACTCTATGGCATAAAATGATCACACCACCTTTAACTTAAAGATAGATCCATGAACTTTCATCCCAAAATTAACCACGTCACCATAATTAATACATCAACCCATTTGCATTTAATACATATTATATGGCCCACCCGATTAATTTATCATTTCCATAATTATTTTATCACACCAACCCATGCTTACCATTCAGAACCCATCCCATTAATACCATAATTATTCTAATATGACCACCCATGAAACACTACAATAGAAGCCCAGCCCAGCCCATCCCTTTCCCGTCTGTCCCACCTGTGCCCTATTCTTTCCTTGTGTTTCCCCAGAGCCTTTTCTGCTATCTCCTTTGAGGCAAACTGCACGAAGGCTTCCCCTGTGCTCCTCCCCTGGTAGTCCACTGGCAGAGTAATCCCATTTGGCACGATTCTCAACCCTTCAACCCAAGCACACATAAATACATAGGTCGGTAGGTGGACTGATAATAGAATGGATAGAACAACACCCACTGCATCACTGGAGCTTTGAGGATTAATATATGTCATTACAGTGAATAAACAACAGCTGTAGTATCTTGCAAGTCTGCATTAGAGAGGGACATCTCAGAGGACTGCCCAGCAGGGAATAAAAATACTGGCCTGGAGTCAGCATACACCATGGTATTACAATAGATAGAGGATTTTTTTCCCCCTCGATAAACTGCTGAATACAGTACATCACTGGCCAAATTATTATTTATTAGTGCTGAATGACACTGATTCATTTAGTGGTTATTATCCTAGACAGAGGAGGCCATTGAGCAGAATGACAGTACTGACCCCAGATCAGTGTCATGGGATGGTGTCCCTCAGCCAAATCAGCCCAGCCCATCCTATCATTTAAGCCCCTTTAGGGGGCACGATATCTATAGGTCATATAGCACAAACATGTTAAGTAAAGTTGTAATACTAACATGGTGAGAAGTATACAAACAGTTTATTACAGGGACAAATTAGTAAACAAAGTATGACTGTACTACAAAAAGACACACACATTAGGCTTTTGGACCATGACAGAGACACTAAAATGAAGATATGTAATCCTGCCTATTCTGGGGTCAGGGGTTTGTAAATAAGCATAATTAACAACAAGAGATGAGAGAAATAATACAGGGGGAAAAAACATTAAATGTTAGCCAAACTGTCCATTCACATACAATGAATGTTGCTGTTGTGTTTTTGTGCAGCTGAGCTAATGAGAGTACAGAATATAGTTGCCATACTTTTTGTGAAAGCCATGCTTCATAATCTCATAGAACCTTTTAAAGTAAGGGCCCATAAATGTACAGTTGATCACTTTTGTTTTATTTGTCTACAAAGAAACTTGCCATGAGAATGATATTAAAGCTTGTTCTAACTCTAGTCTTATTAAAATCCTATGGAATTTCCTATTGCTGCTGTTGGTGTTCAGGGCCTGAGAAGCCTACTGAGACATACAGTAATACAGGGCTATACATAAACAGCGACCATGCCAACATTTATCTGACATTTCTTTAAATGGTTTGGTCTCATTTGATTGTCTTGCACTCAAGAGTTAAAAGGTTCATTTGCACATATGTTGGCTGCAGTTTGTCAGTACCTTACACTGTGGTGCCCACTGTGATGCAGAGAGAACACTTTGACACTCGGTGAACAGCCTCTCTAAAATAACTATCCTTTAGATTAACACAAATGACACAATTTCAATTGAGTAAATAGATCAAGTTCAAGTATTCATGTACCTGAGAAGAACTGAACAATCTCTTCCTTGCTGCAGCCAAAGGGCAGGCCTCTAAGTCTCAGCATGCAGCCACTGCAGCTGTCATAGTCAGCAGGACCGTTACGTTTCAGCACCCAGTCCATTTCACTAAGGTTGGACTTGAACACTGATTCATATATGCAGACAGACATAACACAACAAATGCATGTAATCTGAAATTACAATTAAACTTAGAAAATATGCATTTTTCATTAGAGCATTATTCAAAGCTTATGACACAGAAAAAAGCAGATAAATGTATATTTGCACCGGGAAACCAGTTTCTGGAGAGTAGTGACACAAACTTTCACATGTGTGGATCTAAACATTAAACTGATAAGATGTCACAAATCTAGAGATTTATAATAATGTGCTAATATTACAGCAACTATTCAAAGAGAAAATCAACATAACAGGACAAACTTTACTGGTCCATCAGTCTGTTATGACTGTTCATATTGCTTACCCTCTATGTATCGGTGTCCCATGTATTTACGGTCCTTCGCAAGGGCATTCTTAAAATCCTCTGCTGTTTTCAGCTCAATAAATGCCTCTCCACTGGGACGGCCTTCTTTAGAGTAGGTGAAACACACCCCATTTACTTTCCCAACGATGTCACAATCTGCAAATAAGTAAGACCAGTTGAGATTTCCTGCTAAGAGATATTTCTCTCACAGGGTACATCTATCTAATTTGAACTGTTTGGGACAGGAGAAAATCTAATCCTGAAAACTAAAACTTTCAGCATTAAGATGAAGTAACAGCTCAGAAGAGGTGAAGAAACCCAGAGTAAGCCAAACTGCCCTTCTGGGCACATTATAGCTTTACGCTACTCTACTCCAGACATGTTGAAGAAGGGAGAGAAGACTCTTGGACAGTCATGAATCAAATATCAATAAGGCCTCATGCAACAAGTATTTAAAGACATTGCTGCACACCTCAGCAAAACCAATAGAGTTTCAGTAGACCCTTGAAGTGACTAACACAACTGATTTATATTTTAAAATACAGACTGACTTTGACTTCCACAGTTATTATTAAAAGTTATTCAGGTGTGATTCTGATGCTCTGGGTTCACATTTACATTAAAAACAAGGTAAAGGTGAGGACAATTTTCTGTCAATTTAATGTTCACTTATATTTACTAGGATGGATGAACAACTGTAAAATAATCACTATTTCAACAGCTAGCAAATTGTGCGTATTCTCACCAGAGAAAAAACTGGCCACCTCCTCCTGCGTGCAGGACCAGGGTAGTCCTCTGATCCTGACCACGTAACCCTCTTCATTCAATGACATTCTCACTGCCACAGGAAGCACAACACAACAGCAAGACATTAAATTACTGTGCCAGTAACATGTTTATTATTAAGCCCATAACATTATAGTGTTGTGTCTCCAGTATGCCTTGACCTCCTAGCACTGGTCATTGTGTGAAATCACTCTTGCAATTAGATGTACAGGCACTTTCTATAAATATTTTCACTCTGCTTTTATAGTTTTAAAATTTGTCTCTGCCATTTCTGTCTTATGTGTGCACTACTAATGGTAGATATGATTAAAGTTACTTAAAAAAAAGAAAAAAGGACAGAGGCATGGTGGAAATTTTCTAAAGCTTTTGATTTTACTTAAAAAAAAAAGAGCGATCAGCTGGCACACCTAGTATTTATTGGCTGCTGTTGCCATTCATGGCTGATCCTAAGACGGTTTTCAAGTAAAACCGGAAGCTTGATAAAACTGCCAGCATGTCTGCCTCCTTTTATTTGTATTGAACATTAATGACAAATATATACTTTGTGTTGCTTCGAATAACTATAAAGACAAGAGCATGAATTATAAAACATGCATATCGTATACAAATTTCCTCTGGCACATAACTTGAACGACATAACTGGGGCAGGAAGCTGACATTGGTGTTAGAAACAACTCAAGTTTGGCCTGTAGGCAAATAAACAATTACAAGTGACATAAACATTATACCCGCAATTACAAACAGTATACAATAAGAGAACCGCGGTAGGAAATATCCGTTAATTCAGTACTATAATACAAGTTAGTGCTATTATCACAACAGCGGAACAAGCTAACATTTGTTATAGTCTACTTCCTCCTTCCAACGGTGTCTCAAAGTGTTGCTAAATCCAAAAGATTTCAACTTAAGCTAACTAAGACCTTTCCTAACGCATCCTTACAAAGCATTATCTTCTCTTTAATAAAGTTGCTTCTTTGAAGTTCACAAAAGGAGAGCATTTGTCCGCCTAAAAACAGGGCATTAGCTTTTAGCTAACGTTTCTCCACTGCCATTCTGACGTGCTAATGTTAGCTTGACAACAGTAGCAGTTAGCAGGCTAACAGCTAAAGCTAACCGTAGGACACTGACAGCGGTCAAACGCACAAAGCAAACCAGTTCAATTCATAACCACCGCATGCTGTCACCAGGTAGGAAAATATATTCCCGGGTAGAAATATGTCACAAATCAGTGGAAAAATGTTTTAAAACTGTGACATGATCTTACAGTCGCCTCTTGTCCCCGGTCTCTTGCTCCGGTTCCGAGCCTCAGGTAACACGGCTAGCAACCAGCTCAGGTAACGTATGTTGTCGCGAGACTTCAGCGTAGAAACGATAATGCTGGCAAGTTTGTAGTAGTAGTAATAATAATGCTATTACTGTTATTATGAGACAAAATGTAAGCGTAAGTAAACAGGATGTTTACGATTTTCTAAAATATTTTTTTTTAACTTAGGCTAACTAATATAGCCTATTGTACCTTTCATCTAAGATTGCAGTAGTGGCAGAAAAAGGTCTACTCCGATCTTTTACTTAAATGCCACAACGTATAAAGCCATGGATTAGAACACTTATTTAAGTGAATGTACAATAATATTAGCATTAGAGTATATTTAAAGCACTCGTTATAGACAATGGTCAATTTCAGAGTAATTTCTGAGTAGGCCTATAGGCCACTATAAAGTAAACATTTACCAGCTGCAACATAAAGTGATGAACACTACTGCACCAGTAATTAGGCTATAACCCAATAATATAATGTACATTAATGTGAGATGTGGCATTATGAATAATTAATACTTTTGTACTTAGCTACAAGTAACATTTTGAATGCAGGACTTTTACGAGTGTTTTTAAAACTGTGGTATCACTATTTTTACTTAATCCGAGTATTTAGACCACTTGTCATTTATACGCGACAAGCAGTAGGCTAATCCTTGCTATATCCAATAGCCGACATTTAAATATAGATTTGACACTCGTCAAAAAACTGCGTTAGGTAGCCTACGTCCATTAGCTGTTATGGAGGGAGCAGAGCCTAGTATTCCGTAACTACTTCACATCACAGTAACACACTAAAGGAAACACGCTTACTCATGGCGTTGAACACGTGCGTTGAAAGCCTGAAAGCCCTGCAGCGAGGAGGTGACACTGAAATCAAATAGACAGGGTCGAAAGTCCGTCCAGACTGTGTCAACCCCACTGTCCATACTGGAGATAGTCATTTGCAAGCCGATTTCATTTTCAGTCCAACCATAATGGAGATTCCAGTATATACGGTGGATGCCTTCACCAACTTACCGTTCATGGGGAACCCCGCGGCTGTTTGTCCACTTATGCATGTGAGTAAGAATAGTAAAGTACTGTGTTGGGCCTGCTGACAAAATGGAATGGAAAATCTATCATGACACCTCAGCTTGCTGCTTCTATGATATATTTTGGTTATTTGTTCAAATAACATCTTTGTAACACTCTCTCATTTGTCACATGATTACAGGGTTTGCTCTAATCAGCCATAGATTTTTCTAGCCATTTATGCAGTGTAAGTACTAAAAATGTTTTTATTTGTGACTCTATCAGGAGCTGACTGAGGATTTATGTCAGAAGATAGCAGCAGAGATGAATCTGTCAGAAACAGCTTTCATCATCAAGATCAACCAGTCAGACAGTTTCACTACAGGTCAGAGATTTGTTTACTATGTTGTCATTACATAATTTGTTATCAGGGGACATTTGCCACAGTGCTTCAACAGAGACATCAGGTTAGCCTTTCGTTACAAGAATTAACCCCTACATTTTTACCATGTACAGCCTATGTATTGTTATTGAGGCTGTTAAAAATGTAGATAAACTTGCTGCAGGCAGTTCAGTGCTTTCTGGTAGAACAAGCCATAAAATCACTGCATCCACAGGTTACATTAGGGCGCGATTCAAAAGTTTATTTTATGGTAATTTGTCAGCATTTGGCAGAATGTTTAGTTGGGCTACACATTTCAGATTGTTTGCATCAAAAAGTAAACAGCAAGCATCAGCAGAGTTCACACTCTGGTGATTGGTCAGGTCAGCCCTTAGAAAAGTTGTGTACAAATCTCACTCATGAATGGATTATGAGACAAAGGGCCCATGGGCACAGAGTGTCAAAGGCCCCCACCCTCCAACAGTGGAGCTCCAGACTGAAAGCGTCACAAAATGGCTCCAAAGAACACAGCAAGGGCCATTTTGTCTTTTTGTGAATGTTTTCTGCACCTTTGTAGTATTTTTGCTACTCTTTGTAGTTTTGTGAGGTAATTCTGCACCTTTTTGTTGTATTTTTGTTACTGGTTATTTTGTTTCTTTTTGTGGTCATTCTACATATATTAGCAATCATTGCAGTAGTTTTTTGCCTCTTTGTGGTTATTTAGTTTCTAGTCAACTTGCATTTCTCTTTGCAATCACTGCAGCCTCTCAATTTCCACTGTGCAATACATTGTGGAATAGTAATTCATATGAGAAAATGTTGTAAATGTATGAGCTTTGCTATATATAAAGTAATTTCTTGCCGTTTCAGATCATTTTAAAGTTCAGACTTAACAGTGCTGCAAATATGATGTGATCAACAGGATCCAGGTTCCGGCTCCGATGGTTTACACCAGTCACTGAAGTGAATCTGTGTGGTCATGCCACTCTGGCCTCTGCGGCCGTGCTGTTCCAATATAAGAGTAAGACACTAAACAAATGCACAAAGACATGAAAAGGTTAATTAGCCTTTACCTACAGTTTACATAAGTCAGATTGTATCAGCAGCATGGTACACAGGACAAAATGACTGAAGCCATAAACCTGAAGTTACACAAGTACAGGCAGACATTTTGTAAGTTGTGCTGATAAAGTCTCTAAAGTCTTTGTTTTGAAAAATGCAGTTTCATATAAGGGAGTGCAGAGTTTTTGCCAATACAGACACCAGTGTTGTAGCACTTGAGTCCAAGAATTGGACTCGAGTTCGGTACTTGTGGCTTGATTTGGGCACTGATGACTCAGACTTGGACTTGAGCAGTGACTGCTTTCGGACTTGGAAGCTGGAGACAAGGACTTTTTTTTTGTCGTAACAGGCCAGAATAATTTGGCATAAGATAGTGACACTGATATTCACACTCTTCACTTCTAAGTAGTGTATGTGTGCTTATGAGTGCATTTGTTTGACTATTGTGTCACACACAGTAAGAAAACTCCTATAATGATGAGAGCTCAGTCAGTTGTGTATAATGCAGACCTTAATGACTCGGACTCGAACCCTACCGACTGTTCTTTGGTGACTCAGACTCAAACAGTGAGGACTGACTCGACTCCGACTTGAGTTTAGTGACTCGCCTACAACACTGACAGTAACATTAGTAAATCACATGCTAACACTTCAGTAAAACTAGTTCATCAACTACACAGTGAATATTCATTTATATCTTTTGTCTATTAGAGAACATTAATCCCACACTAGTGTTTGAGACCAGGAGCGGGGATCTGGCTGTCACCCAGCAGGGGGAAGGCTATGTCATGGACTTTCCTCTCAACCCACCCACTCAGGAGGTACAGTATATGGTCAGACAAACACATCAGGACAGTGTTGCAGAAGCAGGTCATCCTTGTTGACATCTACAGTTGTAGGTTTAATTATTTCTCTCAAAATGTGAATTTATTCCACACGGTGAAGAAAAACTAATTAAAACACAGTCACTCCTTTCCTGTCATTCTGGCTTTCTCATTTTCTACACTGCTGTCATGTAATTCAGCAGCACTAACAGGACCATCCTCTGCTGTATGTATACAACCAGTAGTTGACTGGTAGTGTATGACTACCAGAACCATTTCAAGACTTTAACAGGCTTTAATTGTAACAGCTTTTTCCCCCGCAACCCCCTTTCTTCAGGATCCCAGTGAGTTCAGAGACATCGTTGAGGTAAGAGATTTTGCACCAGACACCTCTTGCACCACTGACTCTGGCTTTTCTGTCCATATGATCCCAGTTTGTACCAGGGTGATTACATTCTTGTGTTTCGGTGTTCGTGTGCTTCTGCATGATACAGGCAGCAGTTGGAAACCACCCAGTTCAGGAAGTTTGTCTGAGCTCGAACACTAAGAAACTGCTGATTCGCCTGGCTGACAGCTGTGACAGGTTGCATTCAGAACACATTGACATAGATGCTACTAACTTTCTGACATATTCTATTGGTGATTTACTCCAAAAACCCTTTTACATGTAAATTTCTGAAGACAAAAAACAATGTAATAAGTACAAATAAAGTCTAAAACTGGGAGTAACAAAGAGTTATATAAAACAATGGGCAAAAAGGTGCATTTAAATTCTGCAGTGGGAATTGTTGCAAGAGTGACTTAAATACAATGAGATTAATACACATGGACACATTCAACATGGGCCAGCAGAATGAAGGTAGGGGGTGTCAGTCCATTAGCAGCTTCACGGGAGCAAAAAGGCTTAGTGGCCAAGTGGGAGGCTGGTTACACTTCAACATGCCAAAAAAAAACCCCTGCTCAAACCAGGCAGAAAGTCAAACCACTGACCTTCAAGCTTAGTTTTCTAAATCCCTACATGTATCTGTGCTGCATGTGTGTTGTGTCCAGGTCGGTGCTAAGCAGTCTGAAAGTTGATCCTGTCGCCCTTCGGAGCAGTGACAGGAGTGGAAGAGTCAAATCAGTAATCATCACCATGAAAGGTGACCAGACTTTTATGGCCAGACCTGATGCGGTTTCATCAGTTTTACAGTGGTGCCAAATTTAAAACATGTAGCTTCACCATGACATGAAATTTGAAAAGAAACCTCCCTGAAAAGTTTAAATTCTCCCAGTTCGACCATTGTTGCGTGTTAATATTTACATACGTTTTCTGCCCTTTAGCCTACAAATATTACATATTAACAGAACTGAGTAGTCAAGCCCAGCATACAACCACAAACCAGCCCCTTTAAATGCTCGTCTGTCTGCCGATAGGATCTCCAGACTGCCAGCCAGGGTACGATTTCTACTCCAGAAACTTTGCTCCATGGGTTGGCATTCCTTTTTTTTTTTGGTAGGACCACTACTTCACCTACCACATCACTTATCTCTACTACTACTATTACTACAACTCCCCCTTAGCTGCATTTACTCACATGCAGGCTTCATTTGGGTACAAAAGGGATTTTATTTCTCTCACAGCTGTGCCATCACGTACCTGCCCGAAATCATTTAATTTTGCCATAACATTGTCATTATTGTGCAGTTCTGTACATTTTCATACAAGGTCCAACGATATCTACAGATAGGAGTGATAAGAAGTCGAGCAATTAGGTACCAAAGATGCTAAATGTTTAATTTGTCTTGTAAAATTTGCCAACCAGTTTGTTTCATGTGCTTTTGTTTCTTGCAGGTTCTGCCCACACCGTCCTAGGAAGCTACTGGTCGAAAAAACTAGGAAAGAAGAAAATGCTGGGTAATTATTCTGATTCTACATAATTAACATTTATTTGATTAGCAACTATCTAGCTGAAGTCTTACAGGCAAAGTCCTTCATTCATTCAATACCGTATCACACAATAACAGGTGTCAGTTCCCACTCTACAGTCTACTACTACTGAACTGAACCGTCTTGTCACTGTCATCCCTTGTGTTTTATGTAGCTTACCAGTGCTCCAGTCGAGGAGGGGAGCTGGAACTGGAAGTGAGAGACAACGAAAGAATCAACATAGCTGGACAGGCCGTCACTGTACTGCAGGGAACAATCACACTGTAACCACAGACACGTGCAGAGAAGCGAGAAGAATTTAATAAAAATGAGATGGTTTAAGAAAAAAAAAAAAAAAAAGCTAAATTGACTCAAGTCGAGAATAATCAATCTAATGATGTAGCGTCACTCAGCTAACCGACATAATACAGGATACAGAGACTACTACACACTTTGGTAGGATTTGTACCATTTATTCACATAATAGTAAAAGACCCAAACTGTATAAGTAGTAAGAAAAAAAAAAAAAAACAACAAGAAGTCAGAGAGTGCTCATGTAAAACCAGATCAAAAGGTACAATCAGTGTTTGGAGCATTACTTGACACCCTGCTCACAAAAATCAGTTAATTTCAGTAGCACCAGTTTACACTAACTATACATTTAAACATTTTAATTCCTTAAAGCTGCAATTTGGCTGACTGAACTTATGTGAGTGATGATTTTCAGTGTCACAGAAATACCAAGTTGTGCCTAAAATACTGTCACAGTGTATTGATAGAGGTATTTGATCAAACTCACCTGACTTTTATGAAGTTTGGTGCTTTGTACCATCATTTATCACAGTCAGTTCAACAGGTTTTAGCTACCATTTATTTGTGTGTGCAACAAGTTTAGCCGGTCAGTACCTCAGGTTTTGTCCCTCACTGTCTCCCAGTGTGGACAGTTACAGAGAACTTTCAAACTGGAATGAAGAGTGTGTGCAATCAGATGAGTCAACAGTATCAGCAGCAGGAACACCACCGTTTACATTCAGTTTGAGAGTTTCTAACTGCTTTCTACTTTATTTTTTTTTAACGTTTATATTGACTAAACAAACAGAATGGCAAACAACCATATAGCAAAGAAATAGCTTAAAATCAACATAGAATTTTATTTTGTGAAAAGTATATAAATACGTGAACAAACACTAGGTCTGCTCTGACTTTCAAGATTTCAGTTTTATAGCTAAAAGCTGCCACCATTTCTGTGCTTTGTACGATCATGGCTGTAATGTTGAATGATTCTGTTTTGATCTATGTGGTTCAGATCACCTACTTGAACATGTACACATTCTGCAGGTACTAGTGTGTTTAGTATCATCTACCTCCACCAAGTGCATATTAGTAAGGACACAAAATAACCACAGGAGGAGCTGCAACATAAAGGACTGTAGACCGTAAATGCCACTGAATGACTTTCAAAATGGACAGCACAGTAATGGCTATGGTTTGACTTGCCGACAACCTCCCACAAGTACCTCCAGCTCAGATGTTTGATCACAACCTCCTGGCAGATCATGCAGACCTTTTCCAGACTGGTACTCAGCTGCTGTGCTGATGAGGTGCCTCACCACTACTGGCTCCTCCACTGAGAGACAGGCAGGTGACCTGAAACACCATCACAGATGCATGCTGGGTAAGGCCTTGTGGGCAGCTGGTGGGAGCTGGATAATGTGAAGTAAGGGTTCAGGAAAAAAAAAAAAAAAGCAACGGAGACAGAAGAAACCTGCCAAGCTGCCATTTGTTTGAACACTGGTGATTTACTGTTCGACTTTAAATTACTATTGTGTGTAGAGCTTAATCCAGCTTGCAATCAATTGGTAGAATTGAATATGTTCCCAATAAAGAATCATTCGTACTGAGAATGAAGCAAAGTTCAGTGAGAATATGAGGATGTGTTTCTAAAGGATATCATGTTCTCTTGCTGGAGATGGTTGAGGAGTTTCTCCACTGGTGTGTAGCGGCGTAGTGTTACAGCAGAGCCCAACATCAGCAGCTTGTGCTTGGCCCTGGTAATGGCTACATTCAGTCGACGCCAGTCCTTCAGCAGCTCTCCTAACTATGAGTGGGGAAGGGGGGAGAGAATCAGGTCACTCACTTGTTTGCTTCTCCATCCGTGAAGAAACAGTAACAGGAAAAGAGAGCGGGACACTTACGTTTCCCTCCCCTGCAGTGCTCCTGACAAAAGAAAGCACGATTAGACTTTTGTCCCGCCCTTGGTATCGGTCCACTGTGTTCACCTCCACTCCGGTGAACGCAGAGGAGTGCAGCAGAGCGGAGATTCTCTTTAACTGCTGTCTGTAGGGCGCAATGACACCGATATCACTGGGCTTACACCCTGCCTGAAAAAAAAAGAAATATAAACAGAGGTTTGGACAATGACGGCCACACTAATTTCTCTCATTTTTGCACTTTTTCACTCCCATTAATGTCAAGTATTATGCCACATATACTTCAGTACCAGTTGACAAACTTGATGTACCTTTATCAGCAGTGAAAGCAACTTGTGTACAAGAGCAGCCTCGGTGCGATTGCTTACGCCTCCCTGCTCCACCGACTCCAGGGCAGGCACCTAAAGAAAAGGAGACAAAAGACAAGATTAAGACCAGAAGACATCCACTGCTTCCCTCAAACATTGTTCTTCATGTACTCTGTGTGCCACGCTCATAACCAAAGTGACCAGCTTTGGTAAACCACTCCTGTTTTCATCAGACCACTTTCTTTAACAATTCTAGCACCTGCCTTTATTACTTGTCTTCCAACAGAAGAACCACTTGAGCGTACTGCTTTCATGTCAGGAGCATGTGTGTGTTATGTACGTTATCAGTTCTGAAAGTTACAATAAAAAATAAAGGGGAAAAAGCTGAGCTTACAGTAAGTACACCTAGACTGTGTAACTGAGACACTATGTTGGGGTTTCCTTTCATTTGTCGCCAGTCTTGTTTATTATATGTTCAACCAACCGTTGAGCAATCGAGGAAGCAAACAGGGTTGCTAGGCGACAATGTGGCCTGTATCCATGCCAGGTCGTGCTGGGGATGAGTATGAGAGTAGGAGCTGAGCTCCGACTGAACAGAAGGTAGGAAAGGCAGGGTGAGCAGGGCCATGGCCGTCCTCTCTGATCCGCACTCCAGCTGGCCCTCGTACATCAGGGAGTTACTCAGAGACATTATCTGCCTGGGGGACAAAAAAAACCCCCAAAAAACAAATCAAGCTCAGACTATTTATCATGGAATGACTACTTTTATTGTCCAGCAACTATAGTCCTGTTTTGTAGTTTTATTGTAAACAGAATTAAGTTTTCAGTGCGATGCTAAAACTAGAATTACTGCCCCACGGTTGCATGCTGCTGCCAAGCAACCGAAGTCACAGGAATGGGACAGTGACCTTGACCTTTGACCACCAAAATGTTTCACCTTTGAGTTCTAGTGAACATTTGTGCCAAATGTGAAGAAATTCCTTCAAGGCATTTCTGTGATATCTCATTCACGAGAATGGGATGTACAGACAGATGGATAACCTGAAAGCATAATTTCTCCATCCACAGCTATCACTGACACAGGGGCATAACAAGATGGAGCAATTTAACACTCAAATGTTCAAAGTAAACTCAGATTTGTTTAATTTCAGGTTCATAATAAGGTTTACTGTATTCACAGTATGCTGTGGTGGATGGCCAGTAATCACATGAACACAGCTCTGATTTAACTATAATTTACTGGGTGATCAGTAGAACATGACCGTATGTAACAAGAAGCAGTATTATAGCCAGAACCCCACAGGATACAGCGGTAGTGTCCCTAGTGGCAGTGAAGTAGAATAACAATGTACTGAACACAACATAGCATTCTGACAGAGAATTAAATCATGGCAAAGATCACAGAGATACAGCATTGTGTTTATGTACGTTTACCTATTCATGCGGTACTGGACAGTGAGCTGGACCACTGCTTCCCTATGGAGCTCCAGTCTCTTAAACAGACTTTCATCCATTCCAAGTGACCTGGGGATAAAATAAAAAAAAAATACAGCATGGATAACTCACTTTGCTTTAATCTTAAGTGAACCCATCAGTTTCTGTGTGTTTTACCACCACGTCAAACACCCCCCCAGCTACATAACATAATCAAATACACTTATCTTATTCAAAAACACACACTTTACCTAGCTTCCTGGTTTTGCACTATTGGTGGCAGTTGTTGGTGATCACCAACCAGGACAAATCTCTTGGCATATAACAGCGGTCCCAGACAAATAGGCTGACTGATCTGTGACGCCTCATCTACGATGCAGAAATCGAACCGGCGATGTGTGAAAATGGGATGTCTGATGCTCATACAGGTGGTTCCCACCACCAGCTAGAGGGAGAGGGGACTGGTGTTACACAGCAAGACATTTACTCATTTAATTTATGGTGAAAGTTACAAGAGACAAGTGAGATGTCTTGAAGCAGATAAACTGATCAGATGTAAAATATTTTAGAACAAATGTAAATTATTAAAGAGAAAATGTCAGAAGTTTATTTATTTGGATTTAAATGGCTGGAAAGCTTCAGTGGTTCACCACAGGTTCATCTCTCCATCACTAGCACAAAATAATTCCCCACCTCCTTGTTATAAAGCTGCTCCAACTCCAACACTGTGTGAACTCCCTTCTTCCTGGCACTTTCCTCTGTGTAAGGCAGGATGTCTGGATGAACCTGGAGAAGGTGGCAGAAAACATGAGAGAAATCAGAGCAAGTCAGAGAAAGGTGGAGATTACTGGAGGGGGATAAGAGATAAGATCTAGGCTTTTCTATCTTCAGAATGTTACGTTTTGTGCAGAACTTTACAAAAAAACAAATTCCTCCATCCCCAAATAGTGATAATTACTGCATGAGGGAATGGAATAGCCTGTATTTTAAACAGCAGATAGTTCTACAGACGAACTGTTTAACAATTTAAAAACTGTACAAACACTGAATAACAGACTTCAACTATAGTGCACCTTCTGCCCCTGTCCCAGACGCAAAAATCCAACAGAGAAACGCTTCAGCTTGAGCAGGATGTTGTCAACAGCAGAGTGGGTGTAGCTGGTCAGCAACACACTGAACCCACAAGCATGTAGGATGCGAACCTGAGAGAGATGAGACAAAAGAGAATGAGCGAGGATGCCACATGAGAAACAGCGTTCGAGTTCTGGTTTTGTACGTTCAGGGCAGATGTCAGTTTACCAGGGTGCAGACAGTTGTGGTTTTGCCTGTGCCAGGCATGCCAACAATCAGTGTGTAGTCTTTAGATAACAACACCTTCTTCATGGCCTGCTTCTGGGGTTTGTTGAGACCTACACAAACAAATGCTTAAATTGACCCAGTGATGAGACATTGTCATATAAAATAGACACCATGTGTACAGACACAATTCAAGTAAACTATAGTTCCAGCATTTATGAAACATTTCTGAGGAAAAGCACATTATGTCTGCTCATTTTCCCTATGAAGTTGCCCATATAAAGCTCTGTCCTTTGCAATAATGGACTAAACTCACTCGACTACAGAAAAGGAAACAAAGTACGGGAGACGGGCGGAGTGGGAAAACTGAGCAGAGCGGCACCGTTACCTCTGAGGATGTTGGCTATAGTGTCCTTGGCCTCCCGGGGCAGAACAGAACTGAGGTTGGAAATAAACTCTGGAGGGCGAAGGTCAACAACCAGTTCCCTCAGACGATCGCTGCACAGACAGACAGACAGACAGACATCTGTACTAATGAACACTTTTCCATAAAAAAGTCCAAGGTGCTATTACACAAAAACCAAAAATACAATAAAATGTGTAATGATATTGTTTAAACTGTTTGTTTCTGAGAGATGTGTTTTATGATTTACCTGTGTGCTATGCTATCATAAAGTTAGATGTCATTATTATACTGTACCTACCTGTCCTGACAGTTTTCCATCAGTCTGGACAGATTGGTGAGGTGAGTACTGAGGCCCACCACACCTTCATCACTGTCCAGCCGAAACAACACACCACTGAACTTTGACAAGTCCCTGCAAAACACATGCAAATCGGGTCGGTGACTGCAAATGAGCAGCCGGTGAAAGAAAAGTTCAACCAACTCACTGTCACTAGCAGGGACATGTGGATTTGTTCTCACCTGTTCAGAGTGCAGCTGACCGACGTCCTGCTGACCTCACACAGGTATCCTGTTGCCAAACCAACGAGACAACCTTCCTGGTCGCTCACAACGATGCGATCCCCGCTGACCAAACTGCTGGTGGCCAAACCCTGCTGTGACGCAACACTGCTGCGCTGGAAATGATGGAGGTAAACTCCCTCAGACTGGGTGGTCACTGGGCCCCTGAGCTGCACATTCCCCACACAGCTCCCATTGTTCTCACTGCAGACACAGGTCAGAATAAACTCAGCAGACAACGGTGGAATGCTAGTAAACACTACAAAGTTTAAGGACAGGCCAGGGTTCATACACAAGTTTTTACATCCAGTACTAGATTTAACTTAGAGTGAGTGCTTTACTGTGAGTGTTTCATACCTCCTGATGACAGGAACTGTAACATTCAGAGAAAACAACTTCCTCTGTTCACGAGTCAGCTCCCTACCTCTCCTCAGCCGTCTGAAGCCACACACGCTTTCGTCCATTCTTGGCCTCCATGGTGGCAGCCTCCAGGCAGCAGAGCAGCAGCCAATGGGAGAAATAACTGAGGTGCGGTGGAGTAAGATGACCTAACTCCTGCTGCAGGAAGTCACACACAACATCCTCGGTGACGTCTGCGGTGCTGCGATCCATCGCTCTGTAGGAAGGATGAGCACAGGTGTCAAGACAGAAAAGGGACAATCAGCAAGCAGATAGAAAGACAAGAGGACAAAATAGAGAAGGAATCACTCACCAACACAAGACTCTACATTAATTATTAACTATATAAACTGGGAAACACCAGCTGACAAATCTCCATGGCTCCTGAATTAGTGGAAAAAGCTGTACCTCTCATATAAAGCACAGTTTCTCCGTTGAGGACAGTAATGGCAGGTTTGTGTGTTAGTTAGGATGTCAGGAAGTCTGGACAAACGGCTTCGCTCGGCTCCTTTCTCCACACAGTGGTGAATGTGATGAATGAAAGTGTTCCTCAGCTTCAGCAGCTCTGATGTAAACACAGAGATTTTCAGTGACAGAGACAGAGAAGAGTAAAGGTTTCACTGCGCCATCATGTTTAGTTTAATCTAAAATCAGTGCAAATAAAGCTTTGTAGTAATATTGGTAGGAGTGGGTGTGTTGGAGGTTTAACATTTAACTCTGTTTCCAGCTATAGTGGGTGATCAACTTATTTCTAGATGCAGTTTGGTCATATTTTGTAGAATTGAAAAATATTCCTATAATAAAAAGTTCAGCGGTTATCTCTACATGATGTTGCACAGGTCGGTTAAGCACCACTACTGTACCTCTGCGGTCCATGTGGCTGGCCACTACAGGGTGCAGGTTGCCAGTCTTGAGGTAAAGCAGGAAGCCAGCTTCAGGATTGTATCTGTCCATGCTCATTAGCGTGTATAGAATCACCTAGACACCCAGAAATACATCTACATTAACATCTTGAAACCATAACTGTAAGATTAAATGTGCGTAGATTCACGTAACTCTGTCTTTTCACCTGACCCCACGGGTCTGCCTGAGCCCGTCTACCTAGCTGAGCTCACTGTGGGCCACCAACCTGACTGCGATGCTCTATTGAGTTTGACTCTCTTCCAGTTTTCAGCTCCAGGGGCACCGTCTTCTCCTCCAGGCTTCTCCGACTGCCATTTCGTGGCCTTTGGATTTGAACCCTTGCTGTCACATCTATTTTCCCTTTCAGACCAAATCTCGGCGACCACACGTTCTCTTCTATATCTGCCAGCTCTGTAACTGTGACGACAGCCGCCGTATCCTGACACTTGCTTGAACCACTGCCGTTGCTAGGTCTGGGGTTATGGAGACAGACACAGCAATAGACTCTTAAGTTGACAAGGCCTTACACACACCGGCTTTAGGTAATTACATTTCAAACTGTGATTAAACATTGCATAAATATCTTCACAAGTCTCACAGTATTTATTCAAAATCTGAGATGGTGCACGCGGAAAAGGCTGGATCTGGTTCAACTTTTTCTGCATCCAGAAAGGCACTGCATTGGTGTATGCAAGTATACATGCATGTGTTCCTGGTGCATTATTATTGTGATGAACACAGTTTACCAAAGATGAAACTATTTCTGCCATGATAACTTTCCAGAGTTGTAGCATCTGGTCTGTAGGATTACAAACCTCTGTGCTGTGTTCTGAGCTTTAAACATATAAATCTGTTTCTCCAGATGGACTTCCAAGATTGTATTCGACTGTCTCACAGGTACAGGAAACAACACAGCCCTTTGCGCCGTGTTAACATATGGCAAATGTCTGTGTGAATCCAGCCTAAAGATTATAGTTAGGATTAGAGGGTGGACACCTGAACCAATCCCAACAGATCCAGTTGGTACCTGATGGTTCAGGTTGGGTTCACACAGAAATGTAGAAATCAAGTTTAGGTTCAGCCACATAGGTAAAATTTTAGGGCAATCAGGTGTAAACTAACTTGTAAACGAATCCACGCTTTTGCTTTGGTGTGGGTTAATTTAAAGTGTTAGGCCCATAAAAAATTTAAATGATGAACCAGTTAAAGAGCCCATAACAGGGAATAGCAGAGCCACAGGTTCTTTAAGTGCATGACAACTTTATCTGTAACATTATACACATAAGGGCCACTGAAGAACACAGCACAAACTCAACTGCATTGGGCTTGGTTCAGACATAAACTACAATACGCTTGTCGGCTTCAGCCACCACACTCTTGGACATGGGTCGGGTTCAGACATAAACAGGGGGCCCGATCCATACTCCAGTTAAGATAAGTCTGCAGGAACATAATGTAAGCCAATGCAATGTCCTCTGAAGTGTTGGAAACAGGACTGTGTATGTGTGTGTCTAAGTATTGTAGGACCACCTTTGATAGGAGCATTTGGCACAAATGTGTGTGTGTGAACATACATTTTGAGGCTGATGGGTTTTGGTGTCGCAGAGCTGAGGTATTCCTTTGCCCAGTATTCCAGTGAGGGTAGATAATCATGCAGGCCCTGCCTCATCTCCTCCTCACTTACACCCAAACTGTACCTGCAGATACAGCACAAACATAACTGAATATCATCAGGTGAAAACCATGATACACCACAGCACAAACCACTTACAT